TATTAGGAAACACTATTTCACTAGGAGGGTGGTGAAGCACTGGAATGCGTTACCTAGGGAGGTGGTGGAGTCTCCTTCCTTGGAGGTTTTTAAGGCCCGGCTTGACAAAGCCCTGGCTGGGATGATTTAGTTGGGAATTGGTCCTGCTTTGAGCAGGGGGTTGGACTAGATGACCTCCTGAGGTCCCTTCCAACCCTGATATTCTATGATTCTATGATTCTATGAAATTCAGTGTTGATAAATGCAAAGTAATGCACATTGGAAAACAATCTCAACTGTAATAACAAAATGATGGAGTCTGAATTAGCTGTTAACACTCAAGAAAGAGATCTTGGAGACATTGTGGATAGTTCTCTGAAAACAGCCACTCAATGTGCAGCGGCAGTCAAAAAAGCAAACAGAATGTTCGGAATCATTAAGAAAGGGATAGATAATAAGACAGAAAATATATTGCCGCTATATAAATCCATGGTATGTGCACACCTTGAATACTGTGTGCAGATCTGGTTACCCCATCCCAAAAAAGATATACTGGAATTGGAAAAGGTACAGAGATGGGCAACTAAAATGATTAGGGGTATGAAACAGGAGGAGAGATTAAAATGACTGGGAATTTTCAGTTTAGAAAAGAGACGACTAAGGGGGGATATAATAGAGGTCTATAAAATCTTGACTGGTGTGAAGAAAGTGAATAAGGAAATGTTATTTAATCCTTCACATAACACAAGAACTAGCAGTCACCCAATGAAATTAATAGGCAGCAGGTTTTAAAAAAACAAAAGGAAGTATTTCTTCACACAACATAAAGTCAATCCATGGAACTCTTTGCCGGGGATGCTGTGAAGACCAAAACTATAACAGGATTAAAAAAAGAACTAGATAAATTCCTGGAGAATAGGTCCATCAGTGGCTATTAGCCAGGATGGGGATGGATGCAATACCATGCTCTGAGTGTCCCTAGCCTGTTTGCCAGAAGCTGGGAATGGGCAACATGGGATGGATTACTTGATGATTACCTGTTCTATTCATTCCCTCTGAAGCACCTGGCCTTGACCACTGTCAGAAGACAGGATACTAAGCTATATGGACCATTGGTCTGACCCTGTATGACCATTCTTATATAAAAATTAATTATGATAATAAAAATGATTAGTACATAGCAACGATGTGAGATAACGACCTTGGCAAATAATGCATTTTAAAAATCTTGGCCTACTAGGAAACATATTTATGTAAGTTTCCATTCCCAGTCACAAATCTAGCATTCTGGAGTAAAGTCACTAAAATATAGTCCAACAAACAAATGTTTATTTAACGTGTATTTATTCCCTCCACCGCACCCCACTCACCGGTGTTGTCCTTGGTCAGTGGAGACTCAGAGTTCAGAGGTGCTTTCACGTGAGTTCACTTCCCAGGTGGGGGCCAAGAAGGCACCTTGCTCGTTCCTCCAGCTGCTCACTGTTCGCTCTGGCCACTGCTGTTTGTTGTGCCACCGTTCACTGCATCGCTCTGTTGCCAATGGCCCTGCGCAGTCACCTTCTGCTGCCACCTGCGACTGTGACCTCTGCGAGTTGGTCTCTTGAGGTTCCACCCAGCTCTTGGTGATTTCAGTTGAGCTCTCAGTGGGGGAACCTCGCTGCTAGTGCAGTCTGGGCCGTCTCTTCCACAGAAACACTGTCCCACAGCAGGACTAAGCACTTAAACCTAATTATCAGTGTTTTCAGCTGCATTGGTCACTTAACAGAACAAAAGACTATCTATGGAGCCTGATCAGCTCTGTCTTTAAACAGTGGAGAGGGACAGGTCCCCACCCTCTCTCTTGATGCTCTCAATCAGCACAGACTAAGTACAGTTCTACTGCCCTTTACTCATACAATAAGAACAACAACATTTCATTCCTCCCCCCCACCCCCCCGCATTCAAGTGATTTGTAACGCAACCCCAGCCAAAATCTATCACTTGGGTAACACAGCTTTGTTTGCTGGATACCTAGGTAGATTAGATGTGAATGTAAATACAATCTGGTCCTGAAGCCTTTCCCCCCACCCCAGCTCATCACTAGCTGTCAGGGAGAGCTCATTTAGACTTTGCTTACAAATCATCATTTGAAATTATAAAGTTGGCCAACATCACCGAAATGAATGCACTGACATGGTCATAAAAAACAACAGCTGTATAAGCAAGCTAGTCTATGTTCATACTTTTCAAATCTATTATACTTTTTCAGATACACATATTTTATCATACACTGTATATGCTTTTAAAGTGTGTATTAATGTTTCAATTTCAATTCAAATTTCCAAACAGTCACTAAATTGGCATGTAACTAGTTCACAAAACTGGGGGGGAGTGTTGGGGAAATTCAGGGGGTATAGGGAAATCACTGAGGGGAGGGCTAATACTTCCTCTGCATTCTCCTAGGAAATTAACTTCTTGTTTATAACATTACCATTATGCAGACATTGTAACAACGAGATTTGTACGATATTCTGCTGTTGATGTCAGAGCTGTAAGCAAAAGGGAAAATTACATCCTTCAATCTGGTTTCTTTAAACAACATTATTCAGGATCCTTGGTCCTGGGTTCCTGCTCCTTAGCACAAACCAAATGAACTCCCTTGGGCAAAAATCTATGATCTCCAGTGTAGGGAGGTACGGCAGGAGCGAAGACCTTACTGGTCATCATACACTACCCGCACATTAGATTATATTATACGCTCATGCCACTGCCATAACACTCCATGCTTTTCTCTTAATTGAACAGCAGGAGAAGCTCAACGAGGGATACCAATCAAAATATGAAACATTAAGCTGTTGCCTCAGAAATGTAAAAACAAGGAGATGCAAGAAATATAGATGCCCCACAAAGAAGAAACCCAACTTAGAGGGTGATAGATGAAAAGCCTCTTAAATAATGTTTTCAAAGAAGCAGAATTACTGTGATTTCCCCTTCTCATTCTTCCCCTTCTCATCTTGAAGATTAAGAAGCTTGAGGATAAGCAGAAAAGAAAAGATAGATAGCAATTTTAACAATGATATGGGAAGTTGTTGGCGGTTGCATTTAAAAAAATGTTATAGGATAGACTAAGAGACCTGACCAGTATCAGGGAGACTTTTTAGTCTGAATAGTATTATTCAACGGGGGAGGGGGGAACTCAACTTTGATTAGGAAAAAATCTTTGGCCTACATAAAATAAGGGACATCCACATACCCAAAACAAATGAACAACTTCTCTGGAGGCCGGAGAACTGGGCCTCTCCCCTATATTGGAAATAAGTTCTGGAATGCAGAGAGTCCAAGATGGGCTTCTCAACACAAACAAACAATAAGGCTGCAGGAGCATGTGGTGGGAGGACCATATTGCTCCATTGCTGATGAATTCAGAGAAGAGAACTACAAAATTGCTAGTTGTGGCAGCTTTCCCTGTGACTAAGTTCACATTGATATAGCCTTCTAGTGTCATGCTAGGGAGGGGGAAGCCAGAAGTTGTACTTTGATACCCATTTAGACATAGTCTTCTTAGCAAATAGCACTATCCAGTGAATTGGTATCAAATGAAATAAAAAGTTGGGTGGACTTTCTAAGGGGTTTAGTCTGCTCCAAGTAGCATCCCAGGACCTTTTAAATCTAGTATATGAAAAAGCGTTTCTCCAGCAATGGTATGCAGGCATGGGACGAATGTGGGCAGGCTAATAGGCTCAATAAGGTGACCTTCAAATACCACCTTGGAGAGTAATATAGGACTGTGGGGAAAAAGTAGTTCATCCTGGACAAATTCAAGATAATATAGCTTGACTAAAACATGCATTTATCGAAAAGCAGTAGTTCCAGTGATGATAGACATAATTAGACGTGAGCTTGCAATGTTATGCCTCAGCAAAATGGCAAATGTGAATTTTGGGGATACATGAGCAGAGGTTTAATTACATAGTAAAATATGAGGGTCTCTCTCTCTCTGCTTTTCTGGTGACCGCACCAGAAATATTGGATTCAGTATTGGGAACACCTGTTCCATTAAGATATCAATAAAATGGAGGGAATACAGAGAAACACAACATGAATGATTAAGGAAGTCCTTAATTTGTGCCAGGGCTTGCCAAGACTGAGCCCCGGCATCTCTAGGCAGGTCTGTTCATAGCTCGATAACTCTGGGCTTGCTGCATCGGTTATGAATGTAAAAAAATTGCTTGAGCCTCAGCACCTAATTGCTTGAGCCCCATAACCTTTCATTGCAAACTGAACTCTGGATTAAGGGACTGGAGGGATTTGCTGATGAAGATTAGGAAGGAAATGGGTAACATGAAATTCTGTCCCAGTGGCAAAACTCATTGATTGGAGTTGGGCCAGGATTTTAGCCTTCGAGTTTAGCCAAATGATGCCCAAATATAGAGGGAGAAGGGGCTTTCTTTGAAATAGAGCTGATCAAAAACCAGGGTAAAATAGGGGAAACTTTTGCAGATTTTCATCAAACTGGTCAGAAGATGGAGGAGAAAGACCAGCCAATTGTTGTTCTTGGCTTTTGTTGAAAAAAATTGTTGACAAAAAAATCCTGAAAAGTTCTCATTTGAAAGCTGTAAACTCTGAGGAGAGCAATTGTTTAGGGTGCTCCAAAGGGGTGTAATTAGCAGTAATGGGATGAGGCTGATGAAAGTAAATTAAGGCTGAATGTTTAGAAATGTTTCCTGATGGTGAGGTGTATTAGATCATGGATCAGAGAAATTACAGAAGTCCCATCACTCAAATAATTTAAAACTGGACTAGATAAAAATGGAGAATTGACTTCAGGGGGAAAGCCTAAGCTGGGTCCTGAAGCAGAAATTAAACGTAACCCAAGAGGAGCCTTTCCATCTCTAGCAGCTCTGTTCTGCAAAAATGTGACAGGTGTGATCTATGTGATCAGGGCTATGGAGAGTTGTACACTGTTATACCCGTGTTCTACAGGCCATTCCATGCTGAAACAGGGGGAGGGGAGATTAGTGAGGAAGGACAGATTCTCTCACCTGTGTTTGTGCAGTTGATTTCCACAGTGGTGCTAGGGACTGTGGGGAGTTCACAGAGTGCTAGCCTCGCAGTGTCGGATATAATGCTGGTTTGGCATAATGCTGTAGCCACGTGAAGCAGCACGACCTCCTTAGAGTTCCCCTTGACTGGGTGTTCCTCGCTCACCGGTGGGATCCCATTGCACTGCACAATCGTGTACAGGATGTGGTACAATGAGGCGTAGATGTGGCCATTTTTAACTGGGATCTCAAGGACTTTGGCGCAGTCCTGGCTGAGTTTCTGAAGCCAGCCTGTCACTGGGAGCTGGAGTTTCTTCTTCTTGTCTAGGTGCTGCTGGAACTGAGCGAGTGCCCTGCGGAAGTGGTAATGTCTCCGCTGCCCTTCTGGTCGTAACACTGGGTACTTGCCCTCCTCCATGGTTTCCCCCAGGATGCTGATCCCGAACCCATTGAGGATTTTGTTGCCCGGATATTCAGCCAGAACGTTTTGACCCTCATTCTCAGAAGCCCACCACCAAGCCTGACCTCCAATCAGCAGACCCCCTCCTTCTGCCACAAACTCATGGATCTTCTCGGCCTCGTTGTCACTGTAGGACTGGCAGCAGTAGATGCTGAGATTGTCAGTAAGCTCTGAGATCTCGCACACCACCTGCCTTTGAGTCAGCAGGTCATGAAGGTTCTTCAGATTGGGATTGATGCCAATTCTCCCTTTCTTCTCAGCACCCAGCCAGTGAATGGCATTGAGGATGAAGTCTGTGAGCTTTGGAGTGCTAAGATGGCTCTCATGTGTAGCCACCACCACACGGCCCCGGCCATAGTGAGATGCTGCAAGAAAGCATTGATAGGCACCGTCCAAGCCAAGGGGGAAGGCCAGTGTGCCATGGACCAGCAGGTGAGAGGGGACACCATCTGTTACTATGTCTAGCTCTGACACACCTCTTAGGAGAAGATTTAAGTCGCCGCTGAAATCTAGCTCATGCCTGCAAAACCAAGAGATGTTCCTGTCAGGCCACATGCCAGCACTGTCACAGCATCCTGACATGGAAGAGGAAAATTGTGTAGTATCTCCGCTCTGCCCTACAGCATATCCAAATATTCTTAAATCACCTATACTTGTTAGGCTGCACTTTGAGATCTGCTGATGAAAGTGCAAGGTATTAGCTGCCTTCGTCTGAGAGACAGTGGCCTGCCTTTAGTTGCAATTGTCCTGAATAATCAACCAAAAGGAAAGTGAGCCTCTTATCCTCTTACCCTGCACTGTTCTGTGGCAATTTCATTTCACTTTTTCTTATCTCTTTATCCTATGTGATGTGACTTGGCAAAACCAGTGCAGCAGAGGGTAAGGAGATGAGAATGAGAGATACAGAACAGAGTAAGGGGATGCATGAAGAGAGATGAAATACCGGATGGCAGAGCAGAGGATAAGGTATGAAGGATATTTTGTATGCATTTGTTCCGAGCTAATTTATATAATCAGAACTTAGAGAATTTCCTTTGCTCAGCAGTAAAGGGCTCATTGTATTTCAGAAAAGTATGTACCAGCATTTTGTCATGTGATCATCCAAGCTTTATACGTAAACAGACATTTGTGGAGCACAACTACTTAAAGGTTAATTATTGCTCATGTTTCTATACTAAATCAATATTTCAGATCACAAATAAGTAGCAAGTTCCCTGCTTATTGAAATACACACACAAAAAGTTAAAGGATTCACATATTTACCTTGTCTCAGGCTTAGAACTTCATGAGTCACCTGAACTCATTCAGAAGTCAAATATTTCCCCAAACTTCTTTAGCAAGATTCTGGTTTTATTTCTTTCCTGTTAATTCCTTTTTCCTCCCCCAGGGATAAAGACCTGCATACCCCCTGAGGTGCTGGAAAATAATACCCTTTCCAACATTGCAGCATTTAAGAATATATTCTACTCCTGAGGACATTCTGTGCCAAAACATTAAAAATTCTGCAAATGTTATTTGTCAAATAAATGTGGAGGCTCCAGCATGGCACTGGGGAGCACAGGCCACAGGTTGCACAGAGGTGAGAGATCACTCTGCAGCTCCCTCCCGGCACACTGACTCAACAATGAGGCTGCCCCCAACCCTGACATAGCACAAGGACTGGGTCTGCCCCAGAAACACCACAGGGGCCTGCCCCTCCATGTCAGGTGCACCAGGTGTGAGAGGAAGGCTCAGCAAGGCAGGATCCTAATGTGGAGGGGCTTAGTGTGGGGAGATTCAGGTGTGGGTTGAGAGGGTTCTGTGTGGGGCAATCTGGGTGCGGGAGGCTCAGTGGGGGATCCGGGTTCCGGGGGGATCTGGATGCACAGGGGCTTGTTGGGAGGATTGTGGGTGCAATGGTAATGGGACTCTGGGGGGGGGGGTCCAGGTGAAGGTGATTGGGGCTCAGCAAGGTGGGGTCTGGGTGTGTGGGGGATAGAGATTAGCAGGGGGGTCTTGGTGTGGACAGCTTAGCGGTGGGGGGGGGTGTCCAGATACTGGGGGAAGTGGGGCTCAGTGGGGTGGGGAATCCAGGTGTGGGTGGCTCATTGGGGTGGTCCAGATGCAGGGGGAGTGGGGCTTGTCAGGAGGGTCTGGGTATGAGGGGCTCTGGATGTACAGGGGTTGGGTGGATGGGGGAGCAGCTCCTTGTACAGGCATCCCTCCCCCTGCAGCTAAGGAGCGATGGGTGCATGAGGCAAGGGAGTAGGGGGAGTGTTTGCAGAGCTTCCTACACCAAGGGGAGAAATCTGGGAATGGGTCTGACATGACTCTGGATGCCGTGCAAGGGAAGAGGAAGTCCCATCCTCTCCAGCCCAGCTGGGACTAGCAGCTGAGTCCAGCGCAGGGTAGGAGCCACCAGCCGGGTCTTCTCCAGTCCTGCCCCCTGCCCCACAATGATTCACCTCTCTGCCAGCTGCCCTGGGCACCCAAAACATACTGCTGGGGAGGATCTCATGACTGCTCTTGTGGCTTCCCTTTGCTTCCCGGTCAGAAAGTCATTTTTCTGCATAGAAGCAATGAAATCTGCAGGGAACATAAATTCTGCACATGTGCAGTGGCCTAGAAATCCCCCAGGAGTAATTTTCTTACAGTTTTAACAACAAGTTTTAATACATAGGAAATGATTTCAGATACTCACGGAGTGATCAAGGGAATTGCAGGCACTTTGTCTGAGACACTAAAGATCCCCGTCTCACCGTATATATCAGTGAAATAAACGCCAGCCACACTGGTTACGTGGTTCCCAGGGAAATCGAACAGCACTCTCTCTGCTCTGTGTCCAGAGGCCCAGTGCCAAGCCTGACCCCCAATGAGCAGACCCCCTCCTCTCTTCACAAACTGGATCAGCTCCTTCCCCTGTGCAGCATCATAGGCATCCATACAGTAAACCCCAAATGAGGCAATGAACTCCTCACTGGGCTGCACTCGGGTGCCAGAACTACTGAGAATACTCAGCAGGGAGCTCAAGCTCTTCTGGACACCAACCACCGCTCCTGGGGAGGGACTGAGCCAATCCACAGCATTGCATAGGAACCGAGCCATCTTGGGGCTCCCCAGGTAGCTCTCATGAGAGACGACCACCATCCGGCCCTTCCCATACTGTGAGGCGGCGATCAGGACCTGCCCCTGGGGGTTCACCAGCACTGGGAAGGCAGTCTCGCCAATGAGCAGCAGCTCACAAGGAACAGAGTCACTGGTAAGATCCCAGTCCTGGACACCGTCCGCCAGCAAATCATAGGCAGCTGAAGGATCCATGTTCTTGTCTTGTCTATGGGAAAGACAAATAATAGTTTTTCTTATGGTAAAGACATTCAGAAGAGGATTTATTTATCCTTCTTTGCCTCTCCTGGATTAGTGTGAAGGATGCTCAGATACAAGCACAGGCCACAATCAACATGTCTCATTACCAGATGCCAAAGAAACTCACCTGCCTCCACCTCCTCCCCCACCAGTTGCTCACCGTAAATGCTTGTTTAAACCCCCTTTGGAGTAGGTGACTCTGACACTGTCAAACCAGCTCAGGTTAGGATCAGCAGATGAGTAACCTGTGTATGAACCTTAAAGGCATGTTGAGAGGCATTTGTGGAAGCAGGGAAAGAAAGAGAGAGTTTACGTGCAGCCATTTAAGTGTCAGAGACAGAGCAACTGTTCTGTCAAGTCTTAGCCTAATATCGTCACAAAGAGGTATAAATGCTTGTGTGATTTTGCTTGTACTTTGGAGAAACTGAGGCAGAGATGCTCTCTGTCAGCTGTGTTCTTCCCTTGCAATTGCATGTGCTGAATAAAGCTGTCTCTAATTTTGTTGCTTCCAACCTGAGAGTGGAGTTCGTTTCTTCCACACATTGCAGTTGTAATCAGGACAATGCACGTGTGTGTGGGCATCAAAGAGATACTAGAACGGGTTAACAGGCTAGGCCCATTCATAGGTGTTGATAAGAAATCAAGGAAGATACTGTGTGTATGTGTGTCTATATCAGGGGTTCTCACAACAAAATTTTTGGTAGCCTCAAAGTGCAGCCATCAACTCTTGCTGGTGGCAGCACTGACACTTTTTCCTAAAATATGTAATTAACTTTAGGAAAAACAAATAAATATGCACACGTACACATCCAAATCGTAATTTATGTGGGGTGTGTTTTTCTTTTTTTTTGCAGACTCAGTAATAAAATTAATGCTTTGAAAAATATTTGTTAATACCACTTTTCACAGTACACTTAGTAGTTACATGTGAAAAATGTTAAGTGATATTAACAAACATACACATCACTTTTCACAGCCTCCCAACTAGCTAGTGAGTCTGCTGTGAAAAAGTGATACTTGCATGTTTGTGAATATCACTTTTCTCAGGAAGCCTCAGGACAAATTAAGCCCTGGATGGGGAGGTTGGAGGGGGAGGCAGCAGGCGCCCAGGGTAATGGTGGGATGGATATGGGGCCAGGGGAGGCAGTGGGGGGCCCGGAGTGATGTGGGAGATGAATGCGGGGCCAGGAAGACAGCTGAGTCCAGATGCAATTTGGGGGCGGGTGAACGCAGGGCCAGAAATGCAGCGGGAGCCAGGAGTGATGGGGGTGGGTGGTGAGCCCTGCCGCAGCGCGGCCAGAGCCAGAAGTCGGCACCCTCTGCCACGTGGCCAGGGGTCAGTGCCTGCGGCCAGGGCTGGATTAACTTTTTGTGGGCCCAGCGCCAAACATATTTGTGGCCCCCCATTGGAGAAATAGGGCATGTGATGGGGGGCGATCCACAGAGCGAGGGGCCGGTTTGGGGCAATGAGGCGTAGTGCAGCAGGAGTAGCTTCACTCAGCCCAGACAAGGGCACAGTTTACAGACCAAAAACTGTTAGACGCACACTGGCCCCCCCAGCCCTGCCCCCCTGCCCAGTGCCCTGCCCTTATGCCAGTGCCCCCTCACCCAGAGACTTCCCCCACAGATCCCTATGCCCAGCACCCCCTGCCTAGAGACCCCTCCCGCTGACCTCCCACCACAACTACACAGCACCCTGCACACCATACCCCCTGCACAGCTCCCCCACCCACAGATCCCCTACTGTCCAGCACCCCCTTCACAGTCCCACCATCACAGCTGTACAGTGGCAGTGGGGAGCACAGGCCACTAGCTGCATGGAGGTGGGAGAATACCCTGCAGCCTCCCCCGGCCCCCTGGGACAGGGACTTGCCAGTGAGGCTGAACCTGACACAGCACAAGGGCCAGGCCTGCCACAGAAACACCCTGGGGCCCTGCCCCTTTTGCGCCAGGCACACCAGATGTGGGCAGGGAGGCTCAGCCCGGGAGCAGGATCCAAGTGCAGAGGGACTTAGTGTGGGGGGATCCAGATGGGGGTAAGAGGGTTCTGTGTGGGGCAGTCTGGGTGCAGGAAGCTCAGTGCGGGATCTGGATGCACAGGGAGGTGTCAGGTGCAGGGGCAATGGGAGTCTGCATGGGGGACCAAGTGAAAGTGGTTGGAGCTCAGCAGGGTGGGGGTCTGGGTGCAGGGGAGGTGGGGGTCCAGGTGCAGGCAGTTGGGGCTCACTGGGGAGGGTGTCTGGGGGCGGGGCGCATCGGGGTGGTACAGATGCAGGGGAAGTGGGGCTTGTCAGAGTGAGGGTTTGACGGGCCTGCTTAACAGGGGAGCCCCAGCTGCTGCCAAGGGGATCCACATGCTGGGCTCCCGTTTCTCCTATCCCAGGGATCGGCAACCTTCGGCACGCGGCCCACCAGGGTAAGCCCCCTGGCGGGCCGGGCCAGGCCAGTTTGTTTACTTGCTGCGTCCTCAGGTTCAGCCAATCGCGGCTCCCACTGGCCAATGGGGGCTGCGAGAAGCCACGGCCAGCACATCCCTCGTCCTGCACCGCTTCCTGCAGCCAGGGCCGGTGCAAGGATATTTTGCACCCTAGGCGAAACTTTCACCTTGCGCGTGTCCCCCCCCCGCACATTGGTTCATTGAGGGGCAAATCCCAATGAGCCTTTACAGGCGCCGGGGCTGCTCCCCAGACCAGGTTCCCCCCTCCCCGCCCCCTGAATTCCCCTGGAGGGTGCACAGCCCGCCCGCGAGCCCACCCCACCCCAGCGGCCCCCGCCCCGAGTCCACTCACTGGGTTTGCCAGGCTTGGGCCGCTGCAGCAGCTCGGCAGGGAGCAGCTGCCTTCCGGAGGCACCGGAGAGCCAGAGCATCCTTCTTGTGGTGGCGGCGGCGAGCCCCAGCCATGGAGGAGCTGGCGCAGTGCGGGGGGGCAGCAGCCCTGCAAAGGTGGTGGCACGGCTAGCGGGGAGCAGCCACGCCCCCTACCCCTCCTGCCCAGCGCTCCCCCCCCCGGGGGCTCCTGCAGGCTGCAGCGGATGCATGCGGGCGCCGGCCCCCCATGCGTCCCCCGGCTGCCTCCTCACCGTGCTCAGGCTCTGTGGCTCCCAGGAGTGTGAGCCACCACCGCCGCTGCCCCTCCCGGAGCAGGCTCAGGGCCCTGCGACCCGGTGGCTCACGTGCCCGGGAGCCGCAGAGCCCAAGCATGGCGAAGGGGAAGCCGGGGGGCGCACGCATCTGCTGCAGCCTGCAGGAGCCCCCCCACCAGGCGCGTCAGGCCGCAGCCTGGGCAGGAGGGGCAGGGGACGCGGCAGCTCCCCGCTAGCCGTGCCGCTGCTTTTGCAGGGCTGCTGCCCCCCTGTACCGTGCCGGCTCCTCCATGGCTGGGGCTCGTCACCCCTGCAAGCCAACGCTCCGGCTCTCTGGTGCCTCCAGAAGGCGCCTCCTCCCTGCCAAGCTAGGGCACTGCGTTTTTAGGGTTACCATCAAAAAAGATGACAGGGGGTGTAGAGCCCCACCTGAGTCCCGCCCCCATCCACTCCCTCCCACTTCCCGCCTCCCTCAGAACCCCCAACCCCCCCGCTCCTTGTCCCCAACTGCCCCCTCCTGGGACCCCCCTCAACTGTCCCCCTAGGCCCCTACCTGTCCCCTGGCTGCCCCAACCCTTATCCACACCCCTGCCCCCAGACAGACCCCCGGGATTCCCACGCCCCTCCAACCCACTCCCCGCCCCGACAGCCCCCCCCCAGAACTCCCAACCCATCCAACCCTCCCCATGCTCCCTGACTGCTCTGATCCCTTTCCCCACCCCTGCCCCCTGACAGCCCCCCCGAACTCCCAACTCATCCAACCCCCCCCGCTCCCTGACAGCCCCCCCAGAACTCCCAACTCATCCAACCCCCCCTG